AGGAGAGCAAGGCTTCGGGAAGGTAAAGGCATCCTCCGCTGGGGGATTACCCGCAGGGCAGGCCCCAGCCCCGACCCACCATCTCCCATCCCATCTCCGAGGTGCCTTTCCCAGACGAGCTCCCGGGACTCTCATCCTCCCACCGGGAAGTGGCCCTGTATCCCAGCAGCAAAGGGGCATCCACCGGTGAGGGCGGCACCACCCTCAGCAGCTCCCTGCCCAAGAGAAGAGATTTTAGGCAGGCTTAGGAAGCCTTCTGCCCTACCCCCATCCTCTCAGGCAGCGGCTGCAAAGGTCTTAGCAGAGCGCTTGGTCTCACCCACAGCCCAGAGCAGTCTCTGTTTATGGCTGCCTTATTTCCCCAACCTGCTCTGGCTGCACAGTGAATGACCCTTATTCTCTTCCCCTTAGCTTTGAGGAGGGCTGATTGTGTTGAGAAATCTGTGTAAATCTAACAGTATTTATGCATTAAGTCTCTGTGGTTGGGATTTTCGCATCCCCTGGTAACCCTGGCTTAAATGAACTTTCCAAGCAGCCACGCTCCTACACCAGCACTGCTGAGAACTTCAGCCGGTAGGAGGAGGCTCCTAAAAGCAGAGGAGTGCTTTGGACTGAATACTAGACAAGTTAATGGGGGAGGTAGGTGCATGACTACTATCGGGGGGGAAAAAAAGAAATCTGAATCTGAAAGAACTTAAAGCATTGTGTCTAAAAATTGCAGGGCTAGATACTGCAGGCTTATGTGGGTAGCACCGGGGTCCTGTTTTTTCCAAGTAGCTGATTAGCTGTGGTTCTTGTTCACTGCTTGCACCCCTGCAGAAACGCAGCAAATGTCTTTAATGGTTTTAGGATCTTCTTAGAGCTTGTGGTTTAGACAAGCTTAGACATCAGTTAGACATCATTAAACATCATTAATTTTCCAGGAAGTTAGTCTTAAATAACACTTCTCAGTAGCTCCATCCCCAAAGGTATGCATTTCTTTTCTTTTTTTACTGTTTTCCTTTGGAAACAAAAGGCTTATCCCCTGACCATAAATATACCACGATCCCCCCAGTTAAAAATACTGCAGAGATACCAATTTACTGAGTGGCAAAAGCCAAGCCCTTGCTGTTGCATTCCAGCACAAATATCTACCACCTCATGTTTCCGTTTTTTTATTAGAAGTGTTTATGCCCATAAAACAGGAGTTTGAAAGGATGCTTTGTAGATAAAGTCCACTTTTCTGCTAATTATAAACAACTGAGTCACCCTCATAAACAGATTTGTCAGGCTCCTTCTTGGAAACAGTGAGGGCAGGCGGTTCAAGTGCAGTGTCACTGATCTGGGGCCGCTGCCGCCATACCCGGCAAACAGATTACCTTTAAGTTGGTTTACATTAAACCAGTGGGCTGCATAGGGGAAGCTGGTTAATGCTGGTCGGAGCTGCCTCCGCACCATGTACACACCCATTGCCCACGGGAAGGAGAGAGGAGACATGGAGACGGGGGACAGGGGTGTCTGGCCGAGAACACAATTTCCTGGGTGCAGCGATGCTTAATCCTCAATTAGGGAGTGAGAAATGATCTGCATTGTGGCCGCTTTGGTACTCACCTTCTAGGTAAGTGTAAGATCAAGCAAGCCGGCCCCAAATATCTGCTGCTAGACACAGCTCTCAGAAAATATTAAGCTGTATCTGGAGACTAAACCTGCCAACAAGATTTTTACAGTCAATGGAAGAGAAATGTTTGTCTAGACTAATCTCCAGCTCTTTATAGTGAATCTGAGCAGGTTCAGCTTTCTCTGCCCCTTGGCGTGGCCTCTAGGCACGAGGACAGGACTTGTAACACCTCGACTGTTCCCCAGGCTGCTTCCTAAATTGCTGAGTTATTCTTTACTAGGATCAAAGTAAAAATCCCCCAAATCCAGCATCTAAGCAGCCCCAGTTCAGGTTACACCTCAGCCTTTCAAAGCCTGCATGGTAAAATTTGCTAAATCCATTTTGCACAGAAGCATTGGTGACTTCTTCGGAGTTTTGAGTTTGCAGTGAGATAAATCAAACTTATTCTAGTTATGCCAACAGAAGCTTTCTGGCATGCAGGTGCACTCTGCTGGGGCTTAACTCGCAGAAATCAGATGGAAAGTTGCTTTAAAGGTTTCTCCTGGGTATGTTCAGTCAGTCAGCCCCAGACCAGGGAAGTCAGGGAGGTTTCCAGATGAAGAATGAGTTTCCTCTGCCTCATTGGCAGCGCAGGCTGAAGGAACAGGGATGCTGTGTGCTGTGAGGCAGCAGCACCCTTATCCACACCTGGAGCAGGCATCGGTAACTCTGCCAGAGCAGCATCCTGGAGTTGCAGAGCTGACTGTAACCCTCAGCTGGGTCTCGCCGACAGGCTCTTCCCCAGGGCAGAGAGCAGCCACAGAAGGGTGACTACCAGCCACATGCGATGTCCAGAGAGCTTTATCCCACAGTCCCTTAGCCAGTGAGCACAGGGTTTTACTCTGTACACTCCTTTTTCAACAAAAAAAGGAAAAAGAAGAGAGTTTCCTCTAAATCCTACTTTCCATTGAATCAAAACAAAGCCACTTGTTTTGCTTCCTTGCTGTTCTCCTCGGGTGGAAAGGGAGATTCACCTCTTGCCTCTTAACACAGAAAAGAAATGGTTTCAAATGAGCTTTGGAAAAATTCCCCATCTCTAATAGGTGCTTGCTAGCATGAGAAGTTTGCAAGGAAGCTTCTATCATTGCAGTAATTCTCAGGTGAGCTTTGTTCCAGCATCAATACAGCCTTCTAGGGTTAAACAGAGAGCAGCAAAGTGAAATAATCAGAAACTGAATTTAACAAACATAGACAACCTTGGGTGTTTTTCATGCAGCTTCTTGCTTCCCTAGAGAGTTTTATGGCATGTCACTTACGGCAGCTGACGTAACTGCCCAGAAAGGGCAGCAGTCTTATCTCCAGGCCTACAAAGAGGCAAACGTGTGTAATTAATACCACAAAGAGCACCCTTATTCTGTGCCACAGAGTTTGTCTTTTTCCTGCTTAAAAAAATATAACCCACACTTAACTAGCTGTTCTGCACAAATTACAATGCCGCCCTTTATCGCTGGGCTGTACAAGCTAGGGGAGAAGATTTTACCCCTGGTTTTTAAGGGGATGAAAGCCCATCTCACCGAGCAGAAAAACGACCTGCATCTAAAGATACAGACCCAGGTTCAGCCAGCACCGAGGAACGCTCTTAATGACAGCTTGCTTTGATAACAGCTCAGGGAAGGGAAAAGAATTAAAGGTCTGGAGCCTGCCAGATTGCAGGGGGAAGACAGGCAAAATAAAGGAGACAGGTGGGATGAGCAGCATGCAGGAACAAGAGGCTTTTGTCAGACAAGGGAGCTGCAGAGACCTTCCTAGGCTAGGAACTACCTTGCTACTGCCGCTGTCAGGTGTCTTTATAAAAGTATTTCTTGCTCACCTGCAAGTTCTGCATGCCGAACTCCTGCAAGCCCCAGGTAGAAACTGGAGTAATTGCACCAAATCTTCATTATAAGTCTTGCAGGTCTCTGCTTTCTGGCTGACCAGGGCTTTCTTCAAAAGCACATGGAGGGAAGCACCACACGCCAGCAGTGTTCACCCCAGCATGCAATAGCAGTGAGAGTGTCAGGACACACAGGCATGGACAAGCAGCAGGACACTAACGTTTTAGTATCCTTCAGAAGGCTCCTCTGCTGCCTTTGGGTATTAGAAGATCAGACCTATATAGAAGGCATATCCCATCTCTGCACACAGCAGGTACAGGCTTGCTGGTGGTGTATTTCCCCTTTGCTGCTGTGTATGAGGTGGGATAAACGCATGCAAGGTCATCTCATGTCCTTCTCCTGCTCAGTTTGACACCCCATTAACCTTCATCTTCAGACTCTGCATGAACCTCCCTCTCTCCTGCATAGCTCTCCACGTGAGCTGAGTAATTTTAGAGGAGGAGCTCTGCAAGGAGGAGCCAGGGCAAAGCTTTGGCTAGCTGCAAGACAGTGTTATTCACCACCCTTCACTGACAGCTCCCACTGACAGCGGGGCAGCGTCACTTCCTTGAGCTCAAGGCTGGTAGAAGGGGACACGTGCCACCCAGGAGGGCTCACACCGACCATCCTCTTCCCAGAGTATGGCCAACGCTCTGCAGCGGCTCTCTTCAAGTCAGGTTTGAGACGACCACCTTTATTTTGGGCCATGCTCCCCCACTGTCCTGGGTCACTGTGCAGCGTAGCTCCACCCTGAGTGATGCAGAGTCACACTCTGTGGTGCACCGGTCATGAGGGCATGAGACTTCATGGGCTTGGTCTGCCTGGGGTTTCTTAATCCACAGTGGAAGAGCATGTGCCATCTGCTTTGTGTGCTGCTGTCCTCAAGGGTGCTTGAGTCAGGTCCTCTCACTTCTGCTTTTTCACCTTGGTGAGCAACATGCTGACTTGAAGCGTTGCTGCCATAAAGCCCATCAGCTCTTGGGGTGCCCAGCCATCCCCTGGGCAATGTCTTTAGCAAACTGGTAGCAGCATCACCTCCATGCCTGAGTTGACCTCCAACATGAGTTAGGCTCTCCCGGTATAACTTCTAACCAAGACCCACAATAAGCATGGAACATCAGGCCAAGCTCTTCACTAGAACTTTGGGGAAGGAGGCATGCTCAAGAGCAAGGCACACCCATAAGTGATGTCCCTCTGCCATTAACTTTCTCCAGCATGTCCTCTCTTTAAAGGAGATGCACCCAATCCAATCTCCTTGTCTACATCCAAGAAAGCCTCTTGCATCAAGTTTCTTCCTAAAGATCTCCACCCTCTGGTCACAACTGACAGTGGCAGATGATTTAATTCAGGATATTAATGGTTTTGTTCTAGCCTATTTTGAGGTTCAACCCCATCTTCCCTGCTGCCACCAGTCAGGAGTTGATGCAGGAGGCTCAGCTGACAGACCTGGGATCACTGCAGATGTGTTTTGAATGGAGTTGGTTTCCTTGCAGGGCACGGCAGAGAAAGCAATGTCAGACACCTCCCTGGAGGGTATTCGTCCCACCTACATCTACAAGGTGGTTCTGCTGGGGAACACATCAGTGGGAAAGTCAAGCCTGGCCTACCGATACGTGAAAAATGACTTCAAGGAGTCGCTGCCAACTGTGGGATGTGAGTGAATGGCTTCAATAGCTTGATGGCTCTGGACAAGAGACCAGGCCTGATGCCCTTCCTTGCAGTGGGGTGGGATGCAGGAAAACAGGTTGGTATATCCTGCAGTAGCACAGACCCACTTTTGAACATGATACGGATTTGCCCCAGAGCCAGACTTCCCCTATCGCTGTCACCTTCAGATCTCTGCAGCCCATTTTCCTCAGCACCAGGCTGTAAGCAAAGCCTCATCCCAATTGCACAGGTTTGGTTTAACACTGCTTTTCGGAGGCAGAAGAGCAGTGAAATGAGTGAAACCTGGGGTCCAAACTGTGTGGCCCCATCTGCCCTATGCATCCTTGGTCCTGTGCTGCCCTCACAGATATTCAGACACTCCAGGAGAGTCTCTCCTGTATACGTGCTGCCCCAGCCTCAATGTCCCGCTGGAGCAAGGAGGTTCTGGCTGGGGTGCAGGTGAGTGGGACAGCCCAGGAGGCGGTGGCCAGCTGCAGCAGGACCTCCCCAGCACTGCCCAATGGTAGGCTCGCAGCAGTGCCTTGTTCCTCCAGCCTGCCTGCAGAGACAAGAGTGCTGACCTCCCCACACCCTGGCCAGGTTGCAAACTGAACACTGTGCCCCACTGGCAAAAGGGAGAGCGTCTGCCCCTGCACGTCCTGTCCTTACAAGCCATGCTGAACAACCCACGTCTGAAGGCAGGCCATGTGCACGCTCGTGCTTTGATTAAAACCATCTGGAGAGCTGTGAGAGCCCTGCACCCTCTATAACCTCCCTTGGGCCAACATACCTGCTGGGGCCAAGCTGCCTCCCCTGTACGTTCGCATCAGCACAGCTTCCTACAGCACCTAGACATTACAGATGTTCATTTTACCTGATATACCTGGGTTTTGCCCTAATAAGGCACATCAGGCACAGAGGTTGTGGTCCCACCTGGAGCCTAAAGAGCTAGCTGGTGGAAGAAAGCAAGGCTATGCAGAGCTGCTCCCCTTGTCCCTCTGCCTTGCCTCATGCTGGTCCACAAGCAGCCATCTGCTCCCCTGGGAGCAGGGATGGAGGCTCCCCTCCAGTGGGAGCCCTTTTCAGTGGATATCCCTATTCACAGCTATCACAGGTCTGACCCACCAGCAAGGTGGAGGTGGCTCTCTATCTGGGAGCTATTCTGCAAAGCTCGGAGCTATTCTGCAAAGCTCAGAGCTATCTGACATCAAAACTGGTGTGCATCCACCAAATCTGCTGCCAGGAAGGGCTCCTAGCCTGCCACAGGCTACCCTGCCTTGCAGCACACCACCCCATCAACAGTGCCAGTGCTTATGAGAAACCCGTCCCAATTTTGTGCATTAGAGTGTTGTTACTGGCCCTCAGGATGGGTTTGACCTCATGGCAGCAGATCTGAGCTTTCTGCTCTTGCTGCAAGCGAACATGCACCCTGCATCTTGCTTGCAGGCTCCTTCTTCACACAGATGCTCAACCTGGAGGTAGCCACTGTCAAGTTTGAGATCTGGGACACAGCAGGCCAGGAGAAGTACCAAAGCGTCTGCCACCTCTATTACCGGGGCGCCCACGCTGCTCTCCTCGTTTACGACATCACTAACAAGGTAAGGCAGGGGATGCTGATCCTGTCTGTGCCAAAACTATGCCATGCTGCAGCAGCACTTGCGGGGCAGAGGTGTCCAGATGATGGTGTTTGTCCTTGCTAGAGCAGAAAGCAGTACACAAGCACCGCCTGCAAAGATGAATGTCCCACCTGGGACATGCCGGGGGCCATCCATGCAGGACTACGCTACCACCCCAGGGGCGATTTCTGCTACCATGCAGAAAAAGCACATCCCATCCAAGTCTGATTTATCCCTAAAGGTGTTTCAGGGCCAGTGACCTGTTTCCCTGAGAGAGAGGGCAATCAAAGGCTCCCCACCACGTCTCTTTCACTCCCTTTAGTTTGGTACCACCCATCCAGCTTTGCTATGCCCGAAGCAAAGGGATTAAATCAAAACCAGATCACTGGGTGGTTTTGTCTCCATCTCTCCAGGAAACACTCAACAGAGCAAAGCTGTGGCTGAGGGACCTGGAGAAGGAATTCCTTCCCGATGAAATAGTCATCGCTTTGGTGGGCAACAAGATGGACCTTGCTGCTGAGCGAGAAGTTGCCACCGAGGTGAGTGCCTGTGGTGAGCTCCCAGGCCCCCTCATCACCCCCTCACCAGCAAGCACTGGGATATGTCCTAGTAAAGCTGGGAATATAAAAGGCTTTCAGACAGCTCTGAAGTCCCTGTACAGTTATTGACCTACCATGAAATGCCACCGTAACCGAACAAGCAGCCCCAGAGGGGGCTGAAGAAATAACTCTGCTTGTTTTCACCTAGGAGGGGGAAGAGTTTGCAAGGACCAAAGGCCTCTTGTTCATGGAGACATCTGCAAAATCCAACCACCAAGTAAATGATATCTTTATGGCCATAGGTGAGTTGTGCAATGGCTCTAGGTGAAAGCAGAGGCGGGTGAACCACAGGCCCCAAACCTCTGCTTTTAGGCCTGCAAACACCTTCCCTCCACCAAGGCTGACCCCCTTCATTGCTCATGCGTGCCACCAAGGTCTGCCTCCCTGCTGATCCAGCCTGTGCCGCATCTGGCGGCTTCAAGGGTCATAGCCACAGCAGTCTGTGTTTTCAGTGCAACCTGTCACACCTCTTAGGGCAAAAGGACAGACAGATGGATTTCAAGCCCTCACCCAAAGCCACAGTTTTCTTCTGCTCCAGTACCTAAGCTAGGTGTAATAGCATCCCCAGTGTAGCTGTTTGGTAGAGATCTAACACTGTTACCATGGGACAGTACCGGTGGCTGTCGGTGGGTCCCCTGGGGTGGGACAGGACAGCCATTGCATCCCACCCCACCAGGAGGAGAAATGAGCCCTTTCTCACCTTTTGTTTCTTTCTAGCCCAAGAGCTCCTGCAGCGGGAACAACAGAAGGTGTCTGCCTCATCCCTGCACGGGAGGTCAACAGTCAACCTGGAGGAGAGCAGGGCAAGGATGGGATGCTGCCAGCTCTGAGGACGGGCAGCTCTGGATGTCAGCTGTGGCTGGATGAGGTCTCCCAGAGGAGCAATGACAAAGCAGGGGGGACACAGAAGTGCAGGGGCAGCTCAGCCCGACCACCCTCCCCCTCAGAGAGAGGTCAGAGTCCATCCTGGGGGCACTAGCACTGGCTTCATCCAAGAAGTAAAGCACAGGGGTTTCTTCCACCACCTTTCTGCTTCCAGAGAGGAGTGCGACCCACCAGCACTGCTGCCATTGGCCCTGACTGGTGACATCCCCTGCCCCAGCTGCACGTTAGCAAATCTGTGTCCCTTCTCATCTGAAAAGGGAGAGCTTAACTTTCTGGAGCGAAACAGATGCATCCTGGTGGCTTTACACCGAGGTTGCAAATAAAGAGAATATTGCCCTAAAGGTGTTATTCTTTATTTCTGACCTGGATGTCAGCCTGCAGGTGGGGACCACAGGAGGCCTGGAGGTAGCAGGGACTGGAGCTGGTGCTCCCCTCACCCTGCTGGCCCCCACCTGACCCATTACAGGAGTCACAGCCCATCCTTGGGAGAAACTACTGATTTAATGCCGATATAAGAGGTCTGGGGGCAGAGCAGGGCCAAAGCAAATGCCAAGCATCGCAGTAGCCCATGCCTTGCAGGGCCTCCTGTTTGTGCATTATGAAAAACACTGCAGGAGCATGCCTTGGCTAGAAGAGGGAAAAAAACCCAAACACCTGGGCTGTCTCCAAAAGCATGCCGATGCCCAGCAAAGCTGGGGTGTGTCAGGCTCAGGGAATATGTTGCCCTTTCTGGGAGCGCTGCACCAACACTGGCATGGCCACGGGCAAAGAGCAGCACCACTCACCCTGTCTGCAGGGCAACATAACCACTGAGTTTTTTGGACATACCCTGACATCGATGCCAGCCCATGGGGTAACCACCGAGTTTTTTAGGCACGCCCTGACGTCAGTGCCAGCCCGTGGGGCAAGGCTTAGCTGGGCTGAGCTCAGCCACAAGGCAGCAGACACCCTTGAAGATGTTCCCCATGGAGAGGAGGGGACCACAGCAGCCTTTGCCCAGGTTTGCCAGGTCAGCTCCCCACTGAGGGCCCCCCTAGCGCCCCACACCAGCCGGGGACACCCACCTGCTGATGCTTCCCTAGGGTTGAGCCAGCCTGGAGCAGGACAAGGGCTCCTTCTCAGCAAGAAGGCAGATTTGCTGCCTCCTCTTGCCTAAATCCCATGTTAGGGGAGCTGGGAGACATCGGGTGCTAATTGTCACTCATCCCTTTATCTGCCCCCTCACCTCCCAAGATTAACCCTTTCCTCCCAAACAGCCCTAGACCCTCAATGGTGGGCCAGGAGCTATGGACAGGGATGCTGAGGGTCACCCTTTTTGGTGGCCCCTCTCGCCCCTGAACTGGAGAGGGGGTAAAAATGCTCTGGCCTGGGGACACAGATCGCGAGGGGATGTATGGGGCATGCAGTGTGACAGACAGGGCTCCATGTGCTTCCCCAAGTGGTTCTGACCCAGGCGATGGAAATGAGGTGGCTGTTTCTGACCCTGATGCCATGGAAATGAAGGTGTCGGGGGCACCCATGGGTGCCGTCATGTTGCTGGGACCCCAGGGGATGCACCTGGGAAAGGGGGGCCTCGAGGGCTTATTTTTAGGGTGTTTTTTTGAGGTATGGGGGGATAAACGTGCCTTGCAGAGAGGGAAGCCCTGCTGCACTGCATGCACTGCCAGGGCAAGCTGCAAAATTGTGGCAAGACCAGCAATTTTTGGGGTTCCCCCGACCCTGCCCCCCTGCATCCCCCCCACGCTGTGTTTCGGAGCAGAGAGGCTGGGACACGGGGATGAGAAGAGAAGGGCTTTTATTGTCGGCTTCAGCTCAGGGGCTCCGCTCCTCCCGGGGGGGCTGGGGGTGCGGGCGGGGGGGGGCACCGGCTTTCTTCCCGGCGGGCCCCCCCCCAGGGGGGGGCGGAATTGCAGCCGAGGCAGGCAGGGGTTTGCCTTGGAGGGGTGCCTGTGGTACCACGCGGCTGTGTTTCCCCGGGGGGGCTGGGGGTGCGGGCGGGGGGGGACACAGGCTTGCTGCCGGCTGCCCCCCCCAGGATGGGTGCCCTCACCCAGGGCTCGCCGCCGCCCAAACCGCCCCACCGGCCTGATCCCGCGCCCCGTGTACCAGGAGGGGTCGATGTCCTGGTCTGCAAGGCAAAAGCCAAGGAGCCGTCAGGGGGTGATGAGGGGGGGACACGGAGATGAGACAGGGCATTGCACCCATGGGTGGGGGGGATGACGAACCCCAGGGGAGTGGGAAAGGAGCTGGGCGGGGGATAAAAGGTGTTGCAAAGGCTGTTTCAAATCAAATCTTTGCTTCTGCATAGTGACACCACCACTCCCCCCCCCGCCACCCCCCAAATGCAGCTGAGTCTGGGGATAAAGAGGGGGCTGGAGGCGGTGAGTTGACTGGGGGGAATCCCTTACTCCTGCTCTCCTTACTCCTGATTTCCATGGAGTGCTCGTGGATGCGGCTGTGGGAGACAGGCAGGGTCAGGCAGGTGAGCAGCAGGCACAGGAGGCAGGCAGCTCCCAACTTCATCCCTGGCACGTCTCTGGCTGTGGCGGCTTGGCCTCAAAGCCTCCTGGCCTCGGCGCTTCCCGCTGGTGCCACGAAGACGGCAGCCTCTGACGCGGCTGCAGGAGCGAGAGGATTTGGCCGTCGCAGAGACACCCTGCTTGGGTTAAATGCTTGCAGGGTGAGCCCCCCATCAGGAGGGGAATCCTGCGATGGAGGGGATGGGGTGACTATTGCTGCTGCCATGGGACTGCATTTCCCATCACAGCATCCCTGGGCCAGCTGCGATGCAAGGGCACGGGGCATCTTGATCAAAACCTGGGGGTTTTGCTGGGGCTGATACCTCTGGGGAAAATCTCCCCTGCAAACATGAGTTGTACAAACTTCTTGTTAAATAAAATAGGTTTTTGTCCTAGCCTAGCGCCTTAGGCCAGACCTGGCATTGCCCTTTCTGGCTGGGACCCCCAGAGTGCCTGCGGTGACAGGACCCTGCAGCCCAGGAGACAGGGAGAGGGTCCAGTGCTGAAACACAGGGCTGGAGGCACAAATGGGTTTTGCTGCTGGGTGATGGATCGACCACGGCCACCTCTGCACCCTTGGCACCCACCCCTGCAGCTGGCCGCTGAAATGATAACCCAGGAGCACCCTGTAATGTGCTTTATGGTGCTGAGGCAATGAGTGGCACCATGCAGGGCGGGCTGAGCGATGGGCTGGATTTCTGCAGCCACCTGCAACGAGGGAGCGCAGCGAGGGGCAGAAGCCAGAGAGCCAGGTTAAGCATGACACGGTGGGGACGCAGCAGCGGCTTTATTACAAGGCACTTTTGCAAAGGAGAAGTTTGCAGCATGCCAGGCAGGAGCCAGTCTGAGCTCCTGAGAGCTCAGGTTTGCTGCAGCTGCCGACTTTATACAACCCCCTTTTGGAAACCTCCCAGCCGTCTGGACAGACACAAAGGCACGCACACGCAGGCAAAGCAGTGCTTGGGAAATTATCCAGCAACAAAAGCATCACAAGAAGGAGAGAAAAGCAGCACTCCCCGCCACCAGGGCTGCACTTACCACGGCACGGTGAGGCAAGGAGCCTGGCTGCCGTCCTGCTGAGCCGAGCGGACGCCGTCTGAGCCGGAGTCCCCTCTGGTTGCCGTTTTTATGGCTGGTTTCATGCTGATGTCAGAGGCGAGCCCTGGCAGGGACTGAGCTTGGGGCATCTCCCCTCCCCGCCATCCTTTCTCATCAAATCAGCACAGGGTTTTTCATGACTCAGAAGGGACCAGCATTTTGTCTTCTGCTGGCCAAGGCAGAGAGTTTGGAATATGTTAATCCCTGTCCTTGACCCGGCAAAGTTTTCTGCTCCATCACTGTGCTCACAGGGAGCTCGTCACCCAAAACCCACTTCAGAGGGTCAGTGGGTGATGCCACCCCGAATGCTGTGCCTGTGCATTGGGGTCCCACTGCCACAAACCAGCTCCACCGCAGGGGTTATGGCGGGTGCCACCACCCTTCACCTTCAAACCACCCCCCAAAAGCTGCTTTAAGGAGATCAGAAAATTAAACGTGGAGAAGAGGGGAAGGCGACTGGCCAGGGCTCATGGACTGGCAGGAACAGGCTCATCCCTGTGGCATGGGGCTTCAAACCTCCCATTTTTTAAATGGGTAAACCACGATCAGGTAAAGATTTCTGATGATGTTTGTTCTGCCAGATGCGACGCTGGAGGAGCCAGCTTGGGTCCCCAGCACGGGGGCCTCGTTGGGGTCTGAACACATGTCCACCTCCAGGCAAAACTGGAATTATTGGGACCTTGAGGGTCCTGTGTTGGCAGGGTGGTGAAGACACCATCACTGGTGGGGTGTGGGCAGGGGCCCCATGCGGGGCTGGCAGTGCCCTGGGACAGATCTCCACCTCACGCCACTGTCAGCACCAATGCCCAAGCACAGCCAGTGTTGGGGGACAGTCATGGGAGCAGTGCGGGACAGAGGGTGCCAGCTGTGGAGGGGCATCAAAGGCAGGGAAAGGGATGAAGAGAGGAGAAAAAAAACCCCAGACTCTGGGCTCAGCAGGGCTCTCTCCATCCCAAGGTTGTTGCTATTATTTAATACAGATTTAAAGCATTCCCTTGACATTGTGGGCTTCTGTTTCAGGCTGCTTCGCCTCCCAGATTTGCTCCTGGGTTTCTATGCAAGTTGGAGCAGTGAGTTTCAGGGTCAGCCCCCTCCTTAGCCCCACGCTGCGCATCCCCTTTGCCCGCCTGGCCTCACTGCTGAGTACCACTGACCCACGCTCATCCCATGCACAGCTCCATGACCAGCATCTGACAAGTCGTATTTCCATCCCATTCACCACCATCTCCCCGCATTCTGCTTTGGTGCCACTGCTTCAGCTCCTGTCTGCTTTCATATGCCTAGTTTTAAAGTGAGGCGAGCACCAGCTGGTTAAAGGAGAGGACAGG